GAAATTGCCCACAGTGCAAAAAATTATATTTGGAAGAAAGGGTGTTTGTTGGAAATTGCGAAAAAGAATTGGAAAACTAGGCAAGCTAGCGGAGACTATTTAGGAAGGCCTTCGCTTAGGCTTGCTGTAAAGGGGTTTACTCAACTTGGAGTTTCGCTTCGTGAGCAAGGGCATCTTGTGCAGAAATTTTTTGCTGATTCCGAACTCGTTGAAAACTCTAACTTGATTTTGATGAAAATTTTTAACGACAAGGTGAAATAACTTTTTAAATATCAAAGAACTCCGAGAAAATTTGGAAACCGGGTTCGGAATCGACGAAATATTGCACAAAATGCGCTTGTTCCCGAAAAGAAACTCCAATTTCAGTCAAAACACTGCACAGTTAAGCAACAAGAAAAATAAAATTTAGCTCCAAATTCGTCCGGACGCTAGCAGAGAACCTTTGGGAAACAACTATCCGCGACTATGGTTAAAATGGAAAATCGAAAATGATCAGACTCATCCCGCTAAAACTATAGAATCCCTAGAGTTCCAAAAACAGACAGATGGGGGGAGTTCTTCTTCCCTTCCAACCAAATTTGCGTCCCGCGCTGCTTCCATTTCTGTGCGCACGCCCCTAGGGGGGGGTGATAGACAAATAGAAACCAGGTTCGCAAAGCGCTTGCCGAACCAACCTGGGCCAAATTCGCGTCTGCATAAAAATTTCGGGGCCCGGAAATGATGTCATTTTGGGGTTCGAAAAACGGATGGGGTTTACGCGTGGTTCATATGAGATTCGGGGTCCGTAGAAAAAATCTGGAGGAGCTCGTATAGCAAAAAATGCACTAGCACAATAATATTTTGCTACTGGCATGTGGAAATAATGTTGGAGACGGAAATGGAGATTTTAAAGGGACTGAGAAGCGAGTGGATGGCTACAGGAGCTCGTAGAGCTGGAAAAATGTCAGTAAAAAACGTCAATGCGACGACTAACAACTGCCGTAATCTACTTTGCAACATTAGAAAAGAGTGCAAAACGCCAAAAATCAACCCCTTAGAACACCAGTCAACGAAGATTTCCGAAAAGACATTCCAGGTTTCCATAGGAGTGGCGCGTAGCTGTCTAGACCTAGTCAAAATCAGGGTCGTTCCTAGCTCCCTACGAAACTTTTTAAAGAAAATTTCTGTCCAATTTTCACTCTAAAAATACCACACAAGACATTCGTTTCGGAAATTAAACCCCCCTCCACTACGAGAAGGGGTCAAGACGCCAGAGATTAACAACCTGCCGGGGGTTCGAGCTAACCGCCCGGGAATGCGTGAAATTGAACGCGCTCGTCCTCAGGGCGACCGCCACGTGGGTTCGAAGAAGAGAAAAGAAAAAGAGACCTAAAATTAATCGGAATTTCGAACGTGAAAATGGGGCCTGGTCATTTGGGGAGCGGAGATAGGAAAACAAGCAAAAAAAATCGTTCGCCATGTTCTTGTGAATTCTGGAAAACATCAAAACGATCCATTTTGAATTCTGAAAAGGGGTAGGCTTAAAAATTAGATTTGATTTGACTTTTAAAAACCCAAAAACCTGATGTCGAACTGAGTTTCAAATCCTAAAAATAAACATTTTTTCTGGCCAAACACAAAATTTTTTTTGGAAGAGATTCAAAAAAACGCATTTTTGAAATTATTTTTAAAAATGTTAGCATATCATTTTCTTCTAAAAAATGCTCCAAAATTCGGAAACCAAAAACGAAACAACTTAGAATACCCCTCGTCGACATCCCCGCCACAAATCCCTAATTCGATTAAGCCCGTAGCGCCATTGCGTCAAAAATAATCCAATTTTTCGGCGTCTTCAACTAAAAAAACGCTAAAATTTCATCCAGCCATTTTTTAGGGCAACTTCTGATGAATCGCCACGTCTAGACGTCCGAATTGAGTTCGAATTCAATCTCTGCCCCCCCACAAAGCAAACTATTCCTGGTACAACATGAGTCAGTCTTAATCCCCGTCAGTCATCGATTCAGACACCAGACGAGCATGTAGTTCGAAAAAGCGGAAAGTCCGGGGATTTGGGGCCGGATGTGAAATTCAAACCCCGACCTCGATTCTCGTATTTTTTTAAACTCACAAAAAGCGTGTTTTGATTGGTTCTCCGAAGAAAACTTTAGCCCCTATTTTTGGCTGATACCACTAAAACACGACAGAACAATAGCCTTTTTTGTCTTGTGAATTTGAAAATTCTCTGACTAAGGAGTGTGGGGGGCAGTCGCTGAATTTTGTTGGGGGGTATGCGCTAGTTCTCAGTAGGTTGTCAGACTCCAGGGTAAATTGAAAAAAGGAACCGAAAAAAAGAAAAAACGTTGGGGTAGGGGGAAAAATCTAAAATGAAAAAGGTTTATTTTCTAAAAACCAGCTTTTCTCCGGCTATTTTCTTCCTCTCAGTGTCCATGTGTGTTCTGGGATTCGTTAGCCGAATTGGGATCCCAGACCTCCTTTTTGAGAAAATGAAATCGTCACCCGGTCTTCCTCCCCGAGGGGGGGGGCGTCCCCAATCTTTGAGCACCTACTCTCGCTCCTTCCAAAACACCTAATCGAACACCCAATGGAATTCGGGGTCCCGTAACGATCGGAAGGAGAGTGGAATATTGCAAAAGCAAGAAGAAGAAGAAGAAAGACGCGGAAATGGGTGGAGTAACGACCCAACTTCTAGACCCCCTAAAAATCTGTAGTTTAGAGCTTATAATTAGAATCGAATGGAGACGATCTCGTAGAAATTCTTGAAGCAAATCTGGAATTTATGATGGTAGGTGATAATTCGAATATGGCAAACGAACATAAATTATTTATGATGGAGAAGACATCTACCAGAAATACCTGAGAAAAATCTGCCAATGTTTCCAGCTAGCAAAGGCCATTCGCCGCTCACCCATAAACCGCTATAAAACAACAAATTCAGTTTAAAGAGGCAGGAAAATGAGTCACGACCTCTAAATTTCCTAAAAAACGGAACGCCGCTCTTGAAAAATTATTGCCATGCAGATGCCCCTCACCCAGGAAATTGAATTATCCCCGGAAGCCAGATGTGTTATTCATCGCCCCGCTCATAAATGGGACGCCCCAAAAAATTATGTGCCGTATGGGGTAGAGTTCCGCTTCTTTCCTGGCTACACCCTAAATTTGGGTGGTTCGAGACAGTGGGTGATTAGATTCGGGAATGGCCGGTGGGTGGCCAACAACCAGCCTGGGAAGGAGCCGGAGCTGGAGCCGGATCTGGTGGTGCCAGTTATTTTTGAGTTCGACACCCCCGAATTGTGTCGCTTTGGGCCTTTTGTGCAAAAGCCATTCTCTGAAATAACAATATTTTGCATGTGGATTAAATAAATTATGACTTCTGGAATGGTAGAGCAGGTTTTTTTGTGTACGGGAAGGCTCAAGCTACTAGCTAACAATATTTTAAGAAAAAAACGTTGTGGATATGGAGTCGTAGACTTAGGCTCAGGCTGTGCCTTGGGTTTACGTTTGGGCTTACTTTAGAGCAGGTCTGGCTTAATCCTAGGCATAGGCTTAGGTATGACTTCGGCTTAGGCTTATATTTAAGCTTGGGCTGAAGCTTTCCAGAAATTTTTAGTTTCTATGTACAAATTCAGATCTTTGCAAAGCCAAGCCTGTCAACGGCATAACCCTTTAATCAGACCAAGGTCCGGAAAAACAGGAAAAGCCAAATGTATTCGACAGCCGGGGCGCGGCCCGAGATTCACCTTTTTGTGTCCCGGGGTGCATTGGCTTCTCCCTCTCTGGATACTCCGGAAGTGGGCCGACGGGTTAATTGGAAGCCGAACGCTTCCCCTCCGGCAAAACCCATCTGGATCTAGAGGGCCTCTAGCTCCACCGGCGCTAGCACGTAATTAACGCGTTGCCGAGAGTGTAGGGTGGGGTTTCTTTAAGCCATTTCTCACAATTTTCGAAACAAAATTCAAAAATTTGGTGCAGAATTATCTACTTCGTATATTTATTGGCACGTAGGCTTCGTTTTGTTGTAAGTCTCTATTATGTTAAAACAATTCAAAAAAGGAAAATGCAACCCTGAATATCGACAAGTTAGACTACAGTAGTCAGGGCTTGTCAAAACCACAACAACCGTAATTTTAAAAAATCCTATAAAAGTTTCCATAATTTTTTGATGCATTTTTTCGTTAATCTTTGTTTTGCGCAAGATTTAGAATTTTTTAGAAAAACGGGCTAATCTGGAAAAGGAGGTACTGTAGCCTACAGTAACCAAGTGACGTTGAAAAACCACGAAAACAACGTACGGAGCCAAAAACTGGAACTCCGGCTGAGCGAAAATCGTCATGATAACCATCTGTACCAAGCTGTCCTCGATGTCCAGAGGCTCGAGTCGAAGATCCACGTCCACCTCCTCCTCGTCCTCCTCCCCAAAGCTGCCAAAACAATTACGCGCCCTCACGTCGCCACGTCCATTCAGCTGGCCGTTCCAAGCCGGGGATAGCAGGGGGCCGTTGAGGGCAATTTTGTCAGGGAGCCAAAGAAGAAAAAGGGGAACATTGGAGAAAATAGAATGTGCACAATCATCCCGGCATCATGGCGCTGGGCCCCGAAAAACCTGGCAAAAATATTTGCCCTTACTGGTAGGGGGGAGGGCGACCAAATAAAAACAAGGGTGGGGGATGAGAGGAGAGCATCAGCGGATGGAAAGCACAATTTTGGCTACGATTGAAAAAAATCTTTTTCTTTTTCGATCGCAATTTTTAAAATCGAAGGCAGCTCGAGCGTGGTGGCAACTTTTTATTAACATCAAAAATTGTACAGCGCCAGATTTGATTTTAGATGTTACCAGCGCTGACCCCCCGCTCCGCGGGGGTTCAGCGCTGGCCCTCCCGGGGGGAAAAGGGAAAAGGCGAAACGATAGAGCTCCGGTGAAAATTTTCAGCCTCCGACTACGGTAGTCAGGGGGATCGCGGCGGGATTGAATTCCCGGTCGGACGTCGGGCAGACGGACATTAGAAATTTATATATAGTAGATCGTCCGAATTGATGTCAAGCGGTAGGGCCACGGGTGCCTGGAATATGGTATATCTTTTTTTTTTATGCTTTTCCATAGGCTAGACAACATTGTCGGTCATAAATTTTTGAAAAACGGAATTTCTTCAAAATTTCAAGCTTTATCGAATCAGTTCTTTCACATTGCACAGCTGCAAAATTAACTAGAAAACGATTCCGCCTGAGCCCATGGTAATCACAAAGGAGGCAAAATACATTATTGTGCTTATTAAACTCGAGCAACGGTAAGTATTATTATTATTACTTCCTTTCCGCACCGCTACAAAAGCCTTTCAATCCTTACGTTTCCATCTTTTTCCAGCTCGTTTTCCTCATGCTTTTTCGACGTCATGTGCAAATAGTAGCCCGGGAATTTGCTGAAAAAGGGCAATAAAGCCACAAGAAAACTTTTTCTGATTTCAATTTTAGAATAATCTACCGCCAATTGCCGTCAAAAATGCTACACGCCGAAAAGAATCAGGATCACTCGCGGGATCGGGCTTCTAGCTTCCCTGCTAAATCCACCCATTTTTATTCTTTACACAGCAAACTATTGTGAACGGTTCCGTTTTTTGAAGAATTTAGGGCTGTGTCGTAGGGCAGAGCCTCTCTCGAGTCATCTTAACGAATAATTACATTCTAGATTATCTGGAAAAGCCTACCATATTTCATTCCATATTTCCCTGGTTGGATCCGAAGAATGCCACCGTTTCTGTTAGTCCGTCGGTGGAATCCCGGCTTCTGTGCAGCTCAATAGCTGAGACAATGTGGGCTTACCTACTAGTTCACTTATCGATACTATCCATACTTCATTACAGTTGAACGCGCAATTAAACAAGGGGATCTACAGGGTGTCCCAAAAAAAAAGACCCCCCCAAAAATTTGAGCCAGAGGGCACCTACGGAGCTAAAAATTTGCACAGAGGTAGCGAAGCCAATTTTCTATGAACAAGGAAAGTTTCAGCCCGATCGGCCCGCTAGTTTTAAAGTTATAGCGAAAATACTTTTTGTTTTTAATTTAATATGGGGATCTTTGAAATTTGCATCAAAAATATGCGTTATTCTTGCATTTACGAGCTGATTTTGCATAAATTTCGCCAAAAAGTGCCAGTTTCTTGCCGGAGCATGGAGAAAACGATTGCTCATGTAGCGAAAAATAACCAGGAAAACCACGGAGTACAAGAGATCTTGGTTGCAAGTATCGTGTAGCGCCTTAACTTAGCTTATACTTCAGCGTACGCTTCAAATGAGGTCCAAATCTAAGCCTGAGCACTACTTTGGAGCTCGTCGAACTCTGTTTTTGGTCCGATGAAGCTCAGATTGCCAAAAGGTGCAATAACAAGTAGTTTGGATCGATAAAACAATTGTTTTAACGCTTTTTTTTATTCTTCATACGCAATCGTTTTCCAAAAGCTCCATCACGAAACTGGCACTTTTTGGTAAAATTTATGCAAAATCGGCTCGTAAATGCAAGAATAACGCATATCTTTGATGGAAATCTCATAGATCCCCATATTAAATTAAAAATGAAAAGTATTTTCGCCATAACTTTAAAACTAGCGGGCCGATCGGGCTGAAACTTTCCTTGTTCATAGAAAATTGGCTTCGCTACCTCTGTGCAAATTTTTAGCTCGGTAGGTGCCCTCTGGCTCAAATTTTTGGGGGGGTCTTTTTTTTTGGGACACCCTGTATAATCCCGCTAGATCGGAATACAAGGGGACCCGCTTGATCTTACTTACTAGCATAATTATAAGTCTTCTACTTCTGGCCCTCTTTAAGCGAGTCCATAAGAGGAGCAGACAGAACGCCTGAGGAACAAGCGGGGGCGGCTCCTCGGGCAGGGACGTGTCCTTTTCCTGGAAACTGGAACACTGATGGAGGGACATTATCCAATCTGCCTTGCGTTCCAGTATAATTTCTAATTATGGAATTTACGGCTTTGAGGTTAAGACGGAGCTCACCATAAAATCTTCATCTACGACAAAGCGAAAACGACGCAGAGCGTGCCTTTGCATTCTTCTGGCTCCTGGCGCATTTTGCGGATCTGCAGATTGGAAGTGTAGTCGGAGTGTAGGTGGTCAAAACTATCTACTATAATAATTTTCTTGAGGTGTCTGTCTGTCCGTCTGTCCGTCATGTCCCGAATTCAACTCGAAGGGGAAAGGAGCTAGAACTTAGGTCTCTTCGGATTCGGATAGAGCGTGGTCAGAAACCCTCAAACTGATAAAAAAAATTATGAAAAAGTTTTAGTTTAAATTATTAAAACTAACTTCGAACGTTTTTCCTTAGTAAAAAAGCGTGGGGGACGGAGGTTGGGGTAATTTTGGACATAGTGAGCCAGGTGGCGCGGGTTTCGGCAAGGGGGAGGGAGCGCAGGGGGTAGCCCGAAGTCCAGCCGCTTGCAGCGGCGAAGCCGCTGCAAGCGGCTGGTTTTTTAATGATTTTCCTACCCTTTTGCTGATTACCGCCAAAATCCAAAGTCGCCTTTCGTGAAATCCTTGAATAATCTCAATAAAAGCAAATAGTTTTTAATTTTATACCCTTACCTCTCCATATTTAAATCATTGATAGAGTGTGAATTACTTTGCAAATGGATGAGAACTCCATGTAGTCTTTGATAGATTTTATAAATTTCCTGAATGAGTAGAAGATCATTGGAAGGTCGAAATTCGTGACTTGCATAGTTTGGACGACCTCAGAGTTGCATCATTTTTTATTTTGCCGCAGCCCTCCAAAATAGGAAGTCTAGACAACATCACCTTCGTTCCTCCAACGGCCTAAAGATAATAATAAAACCTAGGTAAGGCAACTTACCTGTCTTCGACATATATCACCCTTGAAACGAGGTTTATCCTTTGGAAATGGGCTCCAATCAGAAAATTCCAGGTTCTTAAAAATGGCATTTGATGTCGCTATACGAACAATGTTTTGGAAAAATATTTGGCAAGCACTAGCGGTTGCGTTTTGAATTTTACTTTACTATGAACGGGAGACTGATCGGATAGGGTGCATACGGGCACAAAATGTTGGCAGGCGATTTCAAGGAAGAAATTGGTGCAGGCAATTCCATGCTAACCTGGAAATTTCATAAAAAAATAAAATAAATTTAGGCTTACCACATAATCTACAAATGGTTGTTCGCGTGTCCTTGGGCTTGTCATGCGATTTCAAACGGGCTGCAAACCCCTTCGAAAAGTGGTCGTTGTCGAGTTGTTCCTTTCTCCACTAATCAGCCACTAAACGCGTCAATCCACCAAAAACAAGCACTCTACCCTTCTTTTCCATTTTCAAATCGTCTTCAACACTTGTTTGGTCCAGGATCTTAAGATCCAAATAGCTTTTCATGAAGCTAGACAAATGGTAGAACCATCCAAGTTGAGTATATCATCTGCAATATTGCAAGTTACATTTTATAGATATCAAAAAACTTCAAGATCGATCGATATAACCAAAAATAATCGGCCTCGAGCGCTATAAATATCGAAAGCTAATGGTTTTGCGGGGCCTCAGGCGAGATCTTATCTTTACAACGCGGGGATGGAGAGGAAATGTTAGGAGCGGGCGCGGAAGATCGTTGGTCGTGAATCATCTATTTTCAAGTATTTTTTGGTCAAATATGAACTTATCAAAATAATAGCGATACAACCTTTTTGTCTCCGTTAGCGACAGTTGCGAAGGAAAACCAAACTTCGGCTTTGTCGGTCATGTAACTGGACAAAAGGGGGAGTGACACATGAGCTGTAAAGCCATGAATATATGCGCCAAAAATATACAAAAGTTAAAATGCATTAAAATGTTGAACAGGATTTTGGTTATTGGTTTTTCAGTTCACATTTTCGACGCTCCGGGGGGCATTTGCTGCTTCAAAATCCTGATGTAATGCAAATACTAGAGATACTTCTCTCTCTCTCTCTCTCTCTCTCTCTCTCACTCTCGCCTCTCCCTCTTTCGCTTTCTCTCTCTCATTCCTCTCTTGTTAGAATATTTGGGAGTGCATTTCCTGTGTTTTTCAATAGTCTGTTTCCTGTTCTCAAAATTGTGTAGACTTGCACGCGTAAAATTGTAAATTTAAGAAAGCGTAAATAAAAAAATGTACTGTAATACCAATCGGAAATTCCTTTATTCTTTTCAATATCAGCTCCTGCGGGTGCGAATATCATCGTAGATTGCGAATTGTCTATAGTAAATAGAAAATGTGCTATTAATTGAAATACTGATCTCACGTGACAACGTATGCCATTGTCACGCAGATATCGTGGAATTAAGGCCAGGAAGGCAGCATTAAAACAGTCCAATTTTTTTGCCTACGATCTGAATGCGCAGAATACTGGGGTTCACTCTTGCTTTTACGTTTACGATGACATCGTCGATGTCAGTCACGTCGCAGGTGTCGGTTTTGATCCTTCACGTTTGTTCAAAATAGATTTTCTCGTATTGCTTCGCACTACTAATAATATACATTTTTGTAAAACGTGTCCCGCTGGTTCTCTACCGTTTCAAGGGCTATCGAATTGCGATGTAAACAACCCGATCCACTAGATGGGGCCGGGGCCGGGATTTATTTTGGGACACCCTATAATGTCGCGATTGGAATCCATACATAGAAATATTAAAACTTTAAATAATCGAGAGTAACGCTCATTAAAGAAATCTTTATTTACCCACTTCATCTCACTTCAGTTCGTTTTGGAACAAGTAGCGCAGATATTCAGCTCATAGTCAATCATTTTCTGAACGTTTAATGTGAGTTACGGAAACCATGTCTTGAGCTTCTCGGGCTTCATGGTAACCATGCAGCACGAGAGCACGAGCATAACACCGAAAGTCAAAGCAAAAAAATGGACTTTGGAAGTGTCGACATTACGAAAATTGGATATTATGTAGTTTCGACATACCGGGGTGTCCCAAAAAGCGGCTTTCGTTTTCTAAGATTTAATCTAATTCCAGCGATATTTAAGGTTCTTTTAGAAAACGGTAATTTTTCAGCAGGAATTTTGCATTTAGCATGCAGATCTTGCATAAATCAGTAGTTTTCATGGTTTTGGACATAAAATTAGCGAATAAAAATACATAATAAAGAAGATGTTGCCGACGTTTAGATTTGGACCACCTCCAATTTTGTGTTTTTCCTGATCGGCCCGGCCATAAAATTACTTACATAGTATTACTTCGTTATTCTAGAGAGCTATTTCTTCAATATACTTCTATTTGCTCTATTCTTGTTTTGACATATATAAACGTTTCAGTAATTTTCGATTTTGGGTTCCTTGGCGCTATATTATTCGAATGAACAAATGTTGTTATAAAATACTTATTTTTTTCAATTTTTTTTAGTTGTTGACGAAGACGTGTTTTTGGGTGTCGGGCAGACGCCTGAAATTTTAAGGTTTTTACATGACTTAAATAGAAGAAATAAAACCATTGTTGCTTTCTTTTACAAATAGCCTACCGCTCAGCCATACTTTTACGCTTTCCGAACCCCCAAAAAAATTTCGAAATAGAAAAAATTCGATTTTTACAGAATTGTTGGGGCCATTTTTCCGAAAGGCTGTAAATTCGCTCACGCTCGCTCACCTTTAAAATTTCCTTTTTTTCTCAGCCCAACAGTGTGTGTCAAACTTGTATGTTGTTTCATGGAAAGTGGCGATATCTAAACCGTGTTTTACGGGGTTACGATATCCGCTGCTTTCCATTTTGTTTTATTTGTCTTTATAATGACGGCCGCCCCAAACTTGAGCCCTTAAATTGTTTGATTAAGAACGCATTTCCGATACCTTTAAATTTCCATTTTACTAACGTTTTGCCGATGATATTCTGACTGAACAATCGTTGGAAGTTCATGACGGATCCGTTTTTGATGACAATAGCAAGTTTAAGCATTCAAATCACATATTTAGAACCCTATAACAAAAAACAAAAACTTTCTGATTCCTTAATTTGGTACGCTTACGTTTTTATAATCTTTTTCTTTTCGCCCTCAGCGGTGTGTCAAACCTGGGTTGTCCACTACGTTGATCTGACACCTTAATCATGCAATAAAGTTGTCATAAAGTCCTTACTTTATCTACTTTTTTTCCATTACTTGGTTAAAAATCTTTCTCCGGTAATTGGTCAGATTCGCTCTCACAGGGATTGAAATATTCTAAATTTTTATACTTAATTTATTGATTATTTATGAATTTATGAAAAGGCCTATTCCCGCCGGATTTTCAGTGGACTAGTAACTTTACTTACAGCTTCTAAAACCTTGAAACTAGAGATGTTATTATTCAAATCAAATCTGAGGATTTGAAAGTTTCTCAAATCAAATCCAGATTTGATTTGATTTGGCGGCAGAATCAAATCAAATCGGATTTGATTTGAACCGGAAGTCCAATTCAAATCAAATCCTGGACCGATTTGATTTGATTAATTTGAGCAACCCAAATTTCCGAAGCAAATGCGAGAAAATGGATGCTTATCAGCAATTTCCGGTTTATTCGATTATGATCATATGCAAAACTTTAAAAATTTCCCTCTTTTGCCTACATTTTTTGGTGCTCGACTTGTGATTTACATCCGTAAAAATGACTCCAGATTTGAAAGTTTCTCAAATCAAATCTGGATTTGATTTGAAAGTCCAGCCAGTTTCAAATCAAATCCAGATTTGATTTCGGCGGAATCAAATCTCAAATCTTCTTATTCAAATCAAATCGGATTTGAGTAGGATTTGATTTGAATAATAACATCTCTACTTGAAACCTTGAACTTGATGAAAGTAATACAAATCCTACCTTGATCCCGCTGTGGAAAAGTAATTTTTCGTTCACCTTTACCTTCCTAGAAATTTCCTATCGAGAAATTCAATTGTCGTTGTTTAGAACCAACCTCTCAATTCACATGATGTCGCAATGCAGTGACTGGATGCAGAAGTTGCTCATTTTTCTATATAATACTTTTTAAAGCTAGAATGTTTCGTGACTTTTAAACCCCATAGTTTTTCATCGTATCTGGTACAGATTTTCTCTTCTTATTCGTCGCAACTTGTAATAGAGTTCGACGCATCGCCTTAGTCCCTCAAGCATCCACTTTTTTCCCTGAAATCTGCAAATTTTAATTTTTTTGGAAGAATCCGTCAAAACAGCGCAATATTAGAGACAGAAACCCTCTTACAAATACAAAAATTCGTTTTAATGTAGTTTCAAAAAAATCTGGATGTTCCGTACCCTGGCGCATCTAAGTGTGTTCAAGAAAATCTAATTTAATGCCACTTTGAAACTTTTAGTTGTTGGATTTGGCAGGTATTAGCTGGCAAAATGCTTACAGTATATCCATTTATCTTTACTTTGTAGTACGCTGTAGTCGCGGTCGGGGTTTGTGCACGGTCTAGAAAAATTGGCAAATACAGGCCGACTTCGTTGCCCATACTTTTATCGCGTTGTCGTTCTGTAAATCTCTATTCTTTTTAGTTGAGTTCGAAGAAAATTGCTTCAAGGTTCGCTGCGTGTAGGAGACCAGGGGTCTGAAATTGAAGATTTTTTGCATTAATTCACAAAACTGCATCGGAGTTCAATAGGCCGAATACATTTCACGATTGCGAAAAAGGCGGTTATCGATTTTTCGCAAAACGCAATTTGTTTTGAAGATAACAATTATAAGCGTTCAGTTGTCTAGAGACCTTTCCCACCTAGTGACGCCAAGGGATCTTATGAAATTCGTGCTTGTGGTACAGTTTATGCGCCTCAGCTGCCAACAACCATCATATCTTTGCTCCCCCGTTGTGCTACGTGGCGGTAAAGTATACCAAAATACCAGCCAAAGCAAGACAAAGATTTTGGTATATCTTACACCCCTAAAGACAAACCGGGCGCCAAGATACCAAATTTTGGAACGAGTTGGGGCAGGCAGTTGACTATACTACTCAGTGATATAAAAATTTTCAATTAACAATTTTCAAAATGCTCAATATGCTGTCGCAACTTAGAGCTTCTACTTACCACGGAAACGCATTTTCTCAACAACCATTACGGTCTTGCCGTGTAAGATGTGATGAAATTTTTCTGTTTAAACTCCTGTAAGGGGTATTTTTCAACTTTAAAGTTTGATTTTTGCCTACGCAGCTTTTTTTAGTTCAGACGGCAGCGTATTTGTACGTAGTATCATGGCGAAATCAGTGATTTGCATAGTTTCCCTATAATATTACGTTCCGAACATTACTTATACTGACCTTCCATAAAACCGTTTTCTTCTTTTTTAGAAAGGTTGAATTCGTTGTAAGTTCAGACAAATTTCGGTGCAGCTATTCAGGGGCCGGCAAGTTGAGGAACTGAAATGTGGAGAACATATTAACGAAATTCCTACAATTTATCCTTTCAATTTCACATTGCTGCAGGCAACAGCTTTGGCCGCGCCATTTTCGTTGTCTAAAATTGTGTGCAAATAAAACTATATAAATAATATCAAATTCTAAAACATCAAATTTGGACATTGGCTGTACCGTTGGTTTGCTGTTAGTAGAAACTGCACAGCGCAAAGCTTTTCTTGTGAAAAACTGGGCCCTGGAATTATGATGTTTTTGTTAGATGGTTAAAACGACGTTTGATCTCCAGAGCTAAGGCTCTTGAGCGTGGTATTAAGACAATAACAGTTTGTTAATCTATTTTCATGAAAATATAATACTTACCAGCCATCTCCAGGATGACGTATTTTAACGGCTCCCGTTCGGTCCAGGCAAAAGAACTCAGAATCCCATGGAATCATAAAATTTTTCCATTTCCAGGGTTTTTTAGTGTTGCCAATTGTTCAAGTCGTGAATTTCGCTTAGAATTTCTGAACAATATTTACAACATTTAAGCGCTTCTGCTCACCGGCCAGCTGTCTCGAAGGGCACAAGGCGTTCCATATTCTTTCCTAGCATTGAAAATTCAATTAATCCATAGCAGCATTCTTTAAGGACATTTTTAAATTACGTTTACGTAGCTTTGCATGAAGCTATATAAATGGTAGAAGAACCCGAGTTGAGAAGCAGATCTGAAATGTCAATTTTGGAAAATGAAAGAGCAAAAGGTGATACATCAAAAAAAATCAAAATTAATGATATTTAACGGTCCTAGAATTATAGACACTAACTGTAGGGATGAAGAAAAACCAAACGCTTTTTTGCTTTCAGTCCAATCGATGTGATCTTGATAAAGGTCCGCGAGAAAATATCGGGACACGAGAGGGAGGATGTTGCACTTGATTTTGGCATTTACCGGGGAAATGGGAGGATTTTTCTACGATATGATTTGAATGCAGCAAATTCGCATAGGAAAAAGTGCCAAAATCAACGAATTCTACCTATAGGGTCTCGACAGCTACGCATGGCGCTAGAAAACGTCTGGAAATTACATTTTTGATCTCGGAAGAGTGACGTTAAGACAAAGCAATTGATGCATTTGAAAGTAAGTAATTTTCTGAGCAAAATGCGTAACTGTCGAGGCCAAGCTGGGAGAAGGGTCGGTTTTTCCAAATCGATCTTGTGGTTCGACTATTTTTCAGCACATCGAACTCCGCCACGTTTCGCGTCGACCCTGAGCAAAGCGGAAAGCTTTAATTTTCGCTAATGTTTAGGGCGAAGCAACCTTTGAGTTTCAAATAGTTTCGAATTTAGGTTGCAAAATATCGGTCGCTCCTTTGGTTCGTTCTCTCTCTCTCCTCTCTCTCTCTCTCTCTCTCTCTCTCTCTCTCTCGCTCTCTCGCTCTTTTTCTAGCAACCACTCATTCTATGCCGTATACAGTATGCATACTGGTCTATAATTTTTCTGATTTCAACTTTCCAGACTTTTTCGAGCTTTTCCTACCCCCAGGCCATTGTTTTCCCTACGAGAAAATCCTCTCAAAGCCAAGGCCCTGTCCTGACTCGGGCGAGCCGGCGCGGCAAATCGAGCACATTACAGCGCGCCAGCCAGACCCCTGGGGCGGCCGAGGGGGTGGAGGGTGAAGCCGCGTTACACAGCTCAGGACGGTACAGAGGAGTCCCACTCCTCTCTCCCTTTCGCTCTCTCTCCGCTTCTCCCTACCCTTCGATCCGTTTTGGTGGGCCAAAGTTTCCTTCCAGTCCGTCTTTTGTCTTTCTGTACCACCGGCCCAACACCCACACGGGAAATCCCTGCTCCCCCGGTTGCCACTCCCCTCGCCCTGGAGGCCCAACTTTCGGATCACATTTTTATTGGGTGCATCGAGTCGTGGAGGTTGTTGCTTTTTTTAAATTTTTTTTATTGATTAGCCATTTTTAGAAAATCATATAATGGTGATGGATAATTCCTGGGCTATATAATGCGGCTGAATATACTTTCCATTACTGCTCTTACGTTTATACCGTCTTCTAGAAAATTCTATTAATTCGTTACTTACTTTAATCTGATTAAATGTCATAAAAACCAACTTGTTACATTTTCCAAGAGATTTTTGATACAATTTTAAGCCGCCTAACATGTTGCTATCACTCTCTCTCGCTCTCTCTCTCTCTCTCTCACTCTCTCGTTTCCAACAGTAAGTTCATCTTCCATTTTCAGGTATAAAATCGGCAGCCATGGTGTTCAAACACTACCGCGAGGAGGACGAGGAGTAGTAAGTTTTTCTCGTTACTTTCTCTCCTTCCTCTCTCTCTCTCTCTCTCTCTCTCTCTCTCTCTCTCTCTCTCTCTCAGTCTCGCTCGCTCTATTTCTCGTTCGCTCTTTCTCTCTTCGCTCTTCGCTTTCACTACCACTCTCTCGCTATCAAGCTCCTTCCGTTCCGACGTCCAAACTCCTTTTTCAGCGAGGACGAGGAGGAGTACGAGGACGAGGAGTATGAGGAGGAAGAAGAAGAGGAAGCCGAGGCCGAGGTCGCCGCCGCTGAAGCGGAGCCCGAGGCTGAGGAGGCTGAGGAGGCCCCAGTTGAGGAGCAGAGGTAGGATATACATGATTATCTATTTCAAAACTGGACACTTTGGGGATACCTACCATAATTTGCATATTCCAGGTCTCGCCCTGCCCCGCCACCCCAGCGCACCCCATCTCCCGTCGAGATGACCGAGGCCGAGCAGGCTATGCTTGCCGCCAAGAAGCGCCATGAAGAGGAGGAGAAGCTGAAGATGCTTGACTACGAGGAGCGCAGGAAAGTCGAGAAGGCCCAGATGGAGACCGAGCTCCGTGAGCTCAAGGAGAAGCAGGAGGTCCGCCGGTGAGTGAACTACTGAATTTTGGACCTGGCCTTCGTCAGGTTTTGAAATTAAATTTTCACTTTAGTCGTGAGCGCCAGCAGGAGGAGCAAGAGTTCGAGGAGCGCCGCCGTCACGCCGAGGAACGCCGTCGTCAGGAGGAGGACGAGAGGAAGGCCAAGGTAAGGGAGAAGCGAGCTTAAGGCTTACGCCTAGGCTTAGGCTGAGACTTAGGATTATCCGATTGCACCCCATTTTTTACATCGATTCGCATAACTCCAAACGACACCCATAAACCGCAGATGTTGGGGGGTTAGTGTAGCCGGACGGAATGCTGTCATCCAAAAATAATGAGCACACATATCTTTCCAGTCCGAGGCCGAGAAGCGCGCCAAGATCGAGGAGAAGCAGCGCCGCTCGCAGATGATGGCCGGCGCGTTCAGCGCCGCCGCCGCACCCCCCGGAGCCGGCCGCAACTTCACCATTGACTCCAAGGTGGGTGGCGGCTGATCGTCTACTTGTTATTCGCCTAAACCTTAAACTTAATAATCTGGAATTGCAAAACTAACTTAATCTGCTCCTTCCAGGGTGACCAGGCCAACCAGTTCGGCAACCTGACCGGCGCCAAGCCCAACAAGCAGGCCGTCAGCGCCGAGCAGGCCATCGCCGCCAAGAAGGCCTTCTTGGACGCGGCTTGCCGTCAGATTGACATCTCCGGACTCCTGCCCAACGACCTGAAGGAGAAGATCAAGCAGCTGCACGCCCGCATCTGCCGTTTGGAGGCCGAGAAGTAGGTTTCTACCAACGATTCTAACCAAAACTTTCAGGTACGACTTGGAGAAGCGCCACGAGCGCCAGGAGTACGACCTGAAGGAGTTGAGCCAGCGCCAGGTGCAGGTGGCCCGTCAGAAGGCTATCGCTCGCGGACTTGACCCGGAGGAGGCTGCTTCCTCTGTCCACCCGCCCAAGCTCCAGGTTGCCTCCAAGTTCGATCGCCAGGTGAGTAGAATTTTTTTGTATGTTTGAACTTGAGCTCCTTACTTCGGTAGATCAGACTTACGCGTGTAGATCTTCTACAAATGCTTATGCATGAAATCCAATTTTTAAAAAATCTTCCAAATCTTAGAAGCCGGTTAACTGCTTGAACTTGAATCCCATAGCCTGAACATATTGAGAGATTCTTTGTTGAACTCCTTGAGGATGAGCACAAGTTTTTCTAAAAAAATAAAGAAACTGTAACTGAACTGCTTGAACTTGAAAGCTAGTGGTTGATCATGCTAAAATCGTTTTTCAGATCGACCGACGCAACTACGGCGACAAGCGCGGCCTCTTCGAGAACCCGAACATCCCCAAGCCGAAGTCGATCGTCCGTGGAACCGCCCGCCCGCCGCCGGAGTGGGGACGCAAGAACAACGAGGAGCTCGAGCAGATCCGCAAGGTATGCAAAACTCGAATATTTAATTTTATCGATTTTTTAGAACCTTGAGCCGCCAAAGTACGTCGAGCAGGCCCCGGTTGAGGATGCGCGCCCGCCGGTCAACCCGAGCCCGCTTGTCATCCCTACTGAGGACTTCGACGTGAGTTTTTGAAGAGAATGAGAGCGAGAGTGAGAGAGAGATAGAGAGAGGTAGAGAGAGAGAGAAAGAGAGAAAGAGAGAAAGAGAGAGAGAGGGAGAGAGAGAGAGAAAGAGATGGAGGAAAAGCGCGTATTTTAACTAATCTATATACAATTTTTCAGGAATCTGTCCCGCAATACGGACAAGATGACGGTGAGGAGCCGGTCGATGGAGAGGCCCCCGAAATCCTGGCCGAATGAGCTGCCAATTTCTGTTCTAATAAATTTTGACTATTTTTTCCTTCTTCCAACGTGCATATCATGGGCCTACAGGCCGCTCGATAAAGAATATTTTATCGCTTCGCCTGAGGACTCAGTTGCATAATAAAGATGTTGTTGCAAAACACCATACAAAATGCCATTTAAGTAAAGGTTCGAGAACCCTAAGCGCTTCGACTTCGGCCGACGCTTAGGCTTAGGTTTAGGCCTAGGCTTAGGCTGAGGGTCATGACTAGACTAGGCTTCGGCTAAGGCTTATTCTTCGGAGAAAGCGTATACCAATGCCATTTAAAGGGATGCCGACGGCATAGTCAATCGGTTACGCGCGGAAAAGAAAATGCCTCTGCGCCTCTCCCCTGGGCGCGCTCTCTCCCCTGTTGGCTACTTGCCAATTTTTGATGGGGGGGGGGGGGGATCGACACATGCCGTCGGCAGCCCTTTAAGTACCCTAAAACCACGTGTATAGTTCCTCCTCGTGTATAGATCCGGGTGAAAATACGAATCTTCCGTAATTCCGTATGACCGTAAACTGGTGTGTTTCGTTTTTCGGGTTTTTGCAAATATCTCGCTTGGCCACTGGAATTTTTGCGATTTCGTTTGAATTATTGATCGCATTTCGACTATTTCCAGTATTTTAAGTGGTTTAATGAAAGAAATTGCTGGTGGGGATCCTGAGAATCATCTCTTTAGCCAAATATAGCTTTTGCGGCGAATTGCCCCCTACGCACATTATTTGGTGTCAGTTGTATTGGTACGTAACCAAATTGTACCGGACTTATACACGAGGTTTTAGGGTAAGTGTTCGTGAGCCCTAAACACTTTTACATCAGCCAATGTTTAGGCTTGGGGTAGGCCTTTGCTAAGGCTTAGTTAGGCTAGGTTAGGCCTAGGCTTAGCTTGGGCTTCAATTTACGCGAAATACAAATGACACCAACATAACGTAGACAAAGTTACGATAAAAACTTTATTTTGCACAATAATCCGATGTTGGTGAAGCAGGAAAGATAGTGTTTCCGGGGAAAAACATATTGTTTTCGGGAGTTGAAAGAATTCTGGAAAAGCTCAAGGGAACAGAGACAAGCCTAGAAGCAGAGAGACTAAGAAAACTACAGCAGCGCATGTACCGGGCAGTTGATGGGAAAATTCGAGAAGGGGAGGGGTGGTAGGATGCAGAAATGATGGGAAATGAGTTGGGGGGTTGTTGGTGCTCTATTCTTCTTCCTCTTCCTCCTCTTCTTCGGCCTAAATCAAATATTTTACAAGTCTTAGGTTGAAGCTCAATTTTTATGTTTTTCCTTGCGGCAAATTCGCTTTTTTATTAGCCTTAATTGTAACAAATTGAAAAACTTCAAATTAGACCCTAAGCTACACACTAAAACTATAAAAATCGAGAAGCTATCGTCGTTGTGACGCTTTTTCCATTAAATTATTTCCGATTTAATTATAATTGATTGTCAATACCGCAAACAAACTACACGCCACAAACTATGTAAATATATAGTCGATGGTGTAATAAAAAGGTTTCAAATTTATTATGAATTGATATATGCAGTTAGTCGTGACTCTCAAGGTAGAAAAATGCCGGAAATCGTTTGTAAATCTTGAATTTAAAAAGTTCACCATCATGTTAAAAGATTTCAACTTTTAATAAGAAATGGTGCTGCGAAAAAACGTCTCAGATCCGTGAAATTAGTTGTAAGCCAATTTGTGAATTTGGTAAGCTCACACCAACCTTCAAAAACCGAGATTGAATAAAAACAGTGTTGTTATGAAAACCCGGAAATCGAAAAACCGTAAGTTTCAAAATCGCCTTGAAGCTAAGCGTTAGGAACCTCCGGCTCGGCGGCAGGTTCGGGCTCGGCTTCGGGCTCGGGCTCGGGCTCGGCCTCAGGTTCTGGCTCGGGCTCGGGCTCCGCAGCAGGCTCAGGCGCGGCAGCCGGGGTCGGGTCGACCTACAGGACAGTGCAGGCGACAGATTAAAGAACAGCATAGAAATCCAAACTTTTTTGAGGTTAGCTTACGTCCTGCGGTGCACTCTCGTTTTCTAGGGCTCCTTGGCTGGGGACTCCGAGCATGTTGGCGGCTCCTCCGGCTGAGGGGAAATCGTAGACGGGCTTCACCGGCTCCATGGGGATGGAATCCTGAAAACGGGAAAAACTAAATTAAGTTTTTCTAATTAAATGACCCGACCGTGGAAATAGGAGTAAAAAAAAGTTAAATTTTCTAGAGCTCGCCAAATTTTCAATCAAAGCGGAAATGGGAATGTGACTTTTTTAAACATGTTCCAAGGTAGAATTCGTACATAACGTTTACGCCCCCTCCCCCCCCCTCCCCCGACAATAGATTTTCTAATGAGCGTTGAAAATTCAAGGAAGGGACTGCAATTCCCAATTCTTAAAAGTGCTGTTGCTCCTCGGCTTTTCTAAAGAAAATGTCTAGTTTCCAGGACAGAATATTCTCGAAAACACCAAAAAAACTTGCATCAAAGTCTTCGGTCGGCATCTGGAGTGGGATAGCTGCAACCGGGGGCTTGGCGGCATCACCCTCAGCCTTGACCTGCTCGATGTACTTCGGGGGCTCGACAATCTGTGAAAAAATCTGAGTAAAATTTGCCGATAGTTCTCCACCTTCCTGAGCTGCTCCAACTCCTCGTTATCCTTGCGGCCCCACTCGGGCGGGGGTCGGGCGGTGCCTCGGGCGATGGACCGGGCCTTGGGGAGGATGGGGCTCTCGAAGATGTCGCGCTTGTCGCCGTATGTTCGTCGGTCGGTCTGAATTCGTTCGAATTGGCCAAGAACCTCTGCTAGAACCCATCCGCTTCCTCAAGAGTCTCTGCTAGCCTGCCCTCTCCTTATCCTTAAAATCTCTGCCAGCTTACCTGTCGGTCAAACTTGGAGGCGACGCGCTTCTTCGGGGGGTGCTTCGAGTTGGCGGCCTCCTCGGGGTCGAGCCCGTTCTTCAGGGCGCGCTGGCGGGCTCCCTGAAAATCAAAATTTGTAGCCTGTAGTTTAGTGTATTATAGTCTAGGTCCAAAAATGCCAACAACTACAAAGTACAAACCTGTCGCTCGCGCTCGTGCAACTCCTTGAGATCATATTCCTGGCGCTCGTTGCGCTTCTCGAGGTCGTACCTGCATTTTATTTTTTGACGTTTAAAGTCATTTCTTTTCAGATTAAAGTCAGAACAAAATTAGATGAAGCTCCCAAAGCTGCTGCTCACTTCTCGGCCTCCAGCCGGCAAATCCTGGCGTGAACCTGTTTGATCTTCTCCTTCAGGTCGTTGGGCAAAAGTCCAGAGACGTCGATTTGTTTGCAAACGGCTTCAAGGAACGCCTGAAATGACAAGTTTATAGAGCCCTAAAAGCAAGGTTTGGTCAAAGCTGAAGCCTAAGCTCAAGCCAATCCAACGCCTAAGCCCAAGCCAAGCGAAAGCCTAAGCCCAACCCAAGCCTAAGCCTAAGCCCAAGCCTAGGCCTAATCGTAAGCTTAAGCTACGTTGAGCCTGACCCTCACCCTCTTAGCGGCCTCCCTCTGCTCGGCCGACACCTCGTTGGCCTTCTGCTTGTTGCCGGCCAGGTTTCCGAACTGCTCGGCCTGCTCGCCCTAAAAAAGCACCTTTTTCAGGGTACACCAACTTACGCTCGAGCTGATGGTGAAGTTCTTGCCACCGGGGGCAGCCGCTGCGGCAGCCGCATTGAAAGAGCCGGCCATCATCTGCTGACGGCGCTGCTTCTCCTCGTAGCGGGCGCGCTTTTGGGCTTCGATCTGAACGAGGTCAGAACTGGATTGCGTCCGGAATACCGACATTCAAAATGCCAACACTCCAACGCCGGCAGGCAAAAATTTCGAAATTTCTATTTTCGATATTTTAATTGTCGATATCTTAATTTTTTCTTTCCGGAGTTTGCAATGTCGTCTGACCTTCTGCTTACGCTCCTCTTCCTCTTGACGCTTCTTCTGCTCAGCCGTGCGCCGGCGCTCCTCGTACTCCGCCTCCTCTTTTTGACGCTCACGACTAAATTCCGGGATAAATCTTGGGCAAGTTAATCAAAAACTTACCGACGAATTTCCTGCTTCTCCTTCAGCTCGCGGAGCTCGGTCTCGTACTGCGCCTTCTCGACTTTCCTGCGCTCCTCGTAATCGAGCATCTGAAAATTTGCGCTGAATCCGAGGTGGCAAGAAAACCTTGAGCTTCTCCTCCTCCTCGTGGCGCTTCTTGGCAGCGACCATGGCCCTCTCGGCCTCAGTCATCTCCGTCGGCTCAGGAGTTCGAGTACGCGGGGCGTGCGAAGCCCTAAGGGTCACAAGGTAGGGAACAGTAGAGCTAGCTTACTTCGGTGCTGGAGCCGCTTCTGCTTCACCTCCAGCCTCCTCTGCTTCTTCGGTTTCTTCAGCTTCCTCGGCCTCTGGTTCCCCGGCGGCCCTATACTTGCGGTATGCAAAAATAAAGTTCTATACTAACTCCTCAGCCGGAGCAGCTTCCTCGGCGGGAGCATCGGCGGCTTGGACCTCCTCCTCGTCCTCCTCCTCTTCTTCTTCCTCCTCCTCGTCGTCGCTAAAATAAAAATTACTCTTGTGACAGTGCCATAGTAGACAGATTCAAAACTGTAGCCACTAGCCACTGACAGGTGCTCGTCTTCCTCGGTGTACTCGAACTCCTCCTTTTTCACCATTTTACCTGAAAATGGGGATTAGGGTATTTGGAGTTTTTTCGGAATGGCAACTGCAATAAAGAAAGAAAATGTCAAAGAGAGCGCGTTAGAGAGAGAGAGAGGGAGAGAGAGAGAGAGAGAGAGCAGAAGGAGTGAGAGAGAGCGAGAGAGAGCGGATAGAGAGAGAGAGACAGTGAGTGAGAGAGACAGAGAGCGAGCATACCAGAGAGGAAAATAGAGAGACAGAGAGAACAAGAGAGCTATTTTCTCGACAAGTAAAAATTTGGTTGCTCAAAAGGCAGCATCCGGGTCGGATAAAAATTTTATAATTTGAAGATACTAACAATTTTGACTTTATGCTAAATCCGAAAAATGACATTTAAATCGGAAACCATTTTCCACTAACCGCTCCGAGCAGAAATCTAGGAAAGAGCCCCATGAACGTTAAGCTACCATAACCCTGAAACCAGAGAGAAGGCTCGGAACTTCCAACCAGGAAGCATCAATGAATATCTGCTGATCGCCGCAGCCCGCAGCCAATTAATCAGGGATCTGCGGTTTCTATGGGCCCCCCGAGGCCGATCGGTGGTGATGGGGAACCGAACCGAGCATGGGGCAATAGAGGGACCCCATTTTTTGAGGCCCGCGTGGAAAGGGGAAGAGGGCTGTAACCAAAAGCCTCAGCACACGCGCTTCAGCCACACAGCCACACAGACCCCTCAACTCCCCCTCCTCCGCAAAAGCCCGGCGGCCCCGGGCTTGTCCGTCAGCGAGTCGGGATCCTTTTTTTGCGTTTACTGCTTATTACTCTGTATGCCTGGGGAGAGGCTAGGGAGAGGATATCCGAGAGGGTCGGGTGGAAGGGTTGAGCATGAGCCGGCTCTGTGAGGTCGAGAGGGGAGAATGGGACAATGGGGTCGTTGAAAACGGGGTCTTAAAGGAATCGATTACTGGTGTGGAAAAGATTCTAAAAATAGATCCATGAAAGGGACAAGCAAGTCATGCATATGTGTTTGTTGGCTATGGATTCTGTCGCGAGAGCGACATAAAATGCGCAGATTCTCCCTCTGCTGCGTAAAAAAGCTTGCGCTGCTGACGGCGGCGATGTTATACGTGTCTTCCGGTCCCTACGGAATCCACCGCTAAAAACTATACCTTGCTCGGTCCTTTAAAATGATTGAGAAGCCACGATTATAGGACTGTATTCAGCGGATCCTATTATCAATTGATAAGGCGCTTGACACCTCCTTCAAGGCGGCGGATGCGTAGCGTGGCGCGGCCTCAAAAAAAGCCAGAAGAATCGACGTCCCTTTAGTTGGGCTTGGCTGTACCCTAGTTTGCCCTTAATAAATTAGCTGATACCTTTCCATGTAATGCCGCCGAGGCCTACTCTAACAGAGCTTATGCCAAAATACGCCCCCAAAAACCGAACGAACATCTCTGTCTGGGACGACGCCGAACCAGACGACCCCCTTTTTGAGCTGTCACCACCGCTATGAACTGGCGTCAGCTGTACTTGATTGGGAGCGAAAAGCCGAGAGCGGCCCGGAATGGTCGCCGCCAATCAGCCCGGTATCCTGAAGTACGTGGGAAAAACGATGATCGATTAGAGGGAAGGGGATTTGCGGCGATAAACGACTGATGGTTTTGCAGCTATGAGAGCAAAGATTGCGAGTTACGTTACGGGACTAAAGTCGTAACAATTTACAATGATTGCAGGCAGCAAAAAACCTTTCTTGTTCAAAAGGGGAGCAACAGTCGTCGTGATTGATTGCCTAATTTTATAATAAGGAAAGAAGAAAGAATTTAGGATAGAACCAGGGTTGAAAAGCCGCTTCGCGACTTTTCAACCCTGGCCCCGTCTGATCCGATGATATTCTGCACTTTGCATATTTTTCACGAATCACCCATGCCGAAAAAATGAAAAACATCCCCTTCTGTCCCTTTATATAGGCTTTCGCCACTTCCGGTGCATGCAAATTGTTTCGTAACAAAGAGGGAGACCCGGATTTTCATAAAAACTTAATTTTAATGTCGAAAATAGCACTTTTTTGTAAAATCTGATATGTGTGCAGTTGTGTCATGACCATTACGCACCTTTTGGCGTATCAAACATACCCTTAACTTCCTCCCCTATCGAGATACGACTGGAACATAATGACGGAAGTTGCATGCAAAGTGGCATACACACACACACAAACATTATTTTTTTATATATAGTAGGATGAATACTGTAGAGAATTTACGAATAACAGAACGCATTTATGAATAACAGAACACACGTTTGGGGCTGTCGTGACAACCAGTAAAAGAACATTTTCAGTAATTTAAGTAATTTTCAGTTCAGAAAAACAGCATTTTAAAGGAGCGCACAAGTGCGAGATCGACTTCCTGATCGAGGCTAGGTCTCGACAGGTATCTGGCACGCTCAAATAAAGCGCAAAGTCCAGGAGAAATGCGCTTGAAAGTATTGGGTCACGAATGCATTGGTTCTGGTTCTTCCCAGCCTCTTTAAAACTTAAAGGGATGCCGACGGCATAGTGAATCGGTTACGCGCGGAAAAGAAAATGTCTCTGCGCCTCTCCCCTGGGCGCGCTCTCTCCCCTGTTGGCTACTTGCCAATTTGTTGATGAGGGGGGATCGACACATGCCGTCGGCAGCCCTTTAAAGCTACATAAATAAAACGTGGAATTAAGCGGGCGCATTGGCAGCAAGCCAAGCCCTCAACTACCACGCGACGACCTGGAGACCGTGTCACCAACCCCAAAGCCCCGTCCCATAAATCGAATGAAAACAGCCCCGCCCGGTATCCCAGTCAGAGCCTATCATTGGAGGAAGTCATTAATCTCGACAATTTGTCGCGTCAAAGGGCCCTCTCTCGGCTTTTGCCCCCGGGCCCAGCCATTTTTCTCGCCTCGCAGGAGGAGGAGGTTCGCATTGTAAAGCCGCCAGGGGGGTTGGTGCGTCTTTTTGCGTTGCCATCCATTTTTTCGACGCCTCATGTAGGCAGAGAGAAAGAAAGAGAGAGAGAGAGAGCGAGAGATAGAGAGAGACGGAGCGAGAGAGAAAGAGAGCGAGAGACAGAGGGAGAGAGAGGGGGGAAGAGAGGGAGAGCGGGTGCAAGTAAGGAAGCTCACGCCGAAGCTGAGGTCGAGCTCAAGGAGGTTGTTGATCGGCTAAAGGGAGCGTGCCAGCAATCGAACCATGTGCATACCCTTGAAAATACTATAGTTTTTAAAATAACAATTTTCTTTAGTGATTTTTCCAAATCATTCTTTTCTTAACAGCAGGTCACGACGCTGCTATGTGATTTTTCGGAATTTTTGTATCATGAAAATGTAATATTTTGTTTTTTTTCACGACCAGTTCTACATCAATGCCATGAAGACGTATTCAGAGCACGAAAACGCCGTTATTTTCTGGTTTTTGAGCGATTCGTCTTATTTTCAAGGTATTCTTCCCCCATCCCGTTGGCCGAATTTAAGCTCATGTTCGTGACGCGCAAAAAACAACAATTTTCTTCCATTTTCAAACCTTTTATTCGACCATCAAATCCCAAAACAAACACAATCATTGCGAGTAAGTGGGCCAATTACAAAATTCCATTTTGCACGTAGCGCTGGGATCCAACCGGGGATGTGGGGAAGGAGAAGCCGGGGGAAAAGCCTGGGAAACTCTATCAAAAGCTGAGGTGAGACCGAGAGATGATATAGTCAATGGGGCCAGAGGAAAAGTATTGCGGGTCTTCTAGGGGAGAAGATGGGCAAAAACTTTTACAGTATACAAAGAAGCGAGAGGGAGGACGGACCAAAGTTGGGGAAGCAGAAAATCAGACATATTTTCGGGGGAAATATGGTCTTGTGGATTTTCTATCCTTGCTTCCTTCCCTGGGGCCCGGCGAGGAGGGCGGCTGGGGTCGGGGCGCCGGCAGCGACGTTCATCAGCCAGAATGCCCAATCCTGGGGTCCGGTGGGCAGCCAGGTCAACGGGTTCCACCTGGAAAAGAGGGGAGCATATTAGCGAAAGCTATACTAAATCTAAGCTAAGCCAAATCCTAAGCCCAACCCAAAGCCCTACCCGAAGCCCAAGCCCAAAAATTGCCTAAAGCTGATCTGTAGTCTACGCTCAAAACCAGGCCGAATCCTAAGCCTAAGCTACATCTTCATAAGTGTATGGCAACAAGTCCAAGTTATTCCAAAGCTTCAGCAAAAGGCTTAGCCTAAGCCCGACCTAAGCCTACGCCTAAGCCTAAGCCCAATCTAAGCCTATGCCAAGACGAGCCCATCCAGCTTCCTTTTTCGATCCCCATTTTTCTCTCAACTTCTAAACCGTGACAGATCTTCGCACAGATCTACACTCCAAACCGAGGTTTCAGTTTTTCGAAAATCCGTTCCTCACTGGGCACCCAAAATTGGGGGTGACAGCCCGCTCAGTCGGCTAGTTGCCAAAACCGTTCTCCCATTCGTTTTCTCAATTTTTGAACACTGACGAGAAGGAGTACGATTGGTGAAACATGAAAAAGTCACGGTGCGCACGTGTCTAACGCCGTGTTGCGGAACATGCAAAAAAGGTTCTGACTGCACGTGTCTATTGGAATGTTGCGGAAAAATCGGGAGCGGGTAGGTGAAACTCACAAAAAGTTGGTGTCGATGCCGACCTTGTACCGGCGGCGCGTGTTCACCGAGGTGACGGCCTTCACGTAGATGTTCACGACTGCAAAAAAAGATTTTTCAACTAAAGGGACAGCGGTAGGCGCCGCGACACGCAGCGGCGTTCACCGCAAGCTAACCGCATGCAGCGCGTGTCACGGGTGCTCTCAAGGAAAAAACGGCTAGGCTTTCACATGCCCTTAAATTAAAAATGCTACATTACATTTTTTTAGTTTTTGTTTTATTCCGTTTTCGATGCCGGTGGAGTTTTTTTCCAGCGTTTCCATTCCTGTAATGAGCTTCCCGGTCCAGACACGGCTCAAAAAAGCTCGCCGTGCCGCACGTTTTTTTGTGTTTTACCCACCGCGATCGGTGTGGTTGGCGCCGAGCCCGTTCATCATCATCGCCTGGTTCTCGCAGGCTAAAAAAATGGAATTTTCCGGAGTTCTAACATTAAGTGGAAAGTACGCAAAACTCACTTTTCTTGAAAAATTCGTATCCATACTCGGCCTTCAGCTCGGGGCTGGCGCGTTCCCAAAGCTAGAAAGGAAGAATTAGTTGGTTAGAAACTAGAAAATCTGGCTATCTATTGCTCTCTCTGCCTCTCTCTCTCTCTCTCACGTTCTCTCTCTCCCTTACATGATCATTATTCTTCCGGATCCTCTCGGTGTCGGTGAGCGGCGTTTTGACGAACCCGGGCTCGATGTGGATCACCTCAACTCCCCAGATCGCCAGCTCCTTTCTGAAAAAAGGAGCCATTTTTCCTCAGATGTACGGTTATATACGTTATATGTTAAAATACGGTAATTTAATCTATGGAACTCGGTGTATCTTGTAGTTCCCATACCGGATCACTTCGGTGTAGGCGTTGGCGGTGAACTTGGAGATGATGTAGGGGCCGATGCCAGCGGCCGGGCAGCGTCCAAGGATTGACGTCACGTTGATCAGACGGCCCCTAAAAATGTCATAACAAACCTTAACTCTTTGTTGTGATGTTGCAAAAGAACGGAAACAAAATTTCCTATATTTTTTTTGTTTTTGCGAATCCCCAATTTTTTTGCCCGCGTCGCAACAGCGCGTGATCCGATTTCTACAGATTTTTTGTGTGAGAGAGAGAGAGAGAGAGAGCGCGAGAGAGAAATCGACACTCACTTCCTTTGCTTCAGCGCCCTCCTCAGCCTATGCACGACGCGCATGATGCCGTAGAAGTTGATCTCCATCGTCAGCCGATAGTCCTCGTGCTTCAGGAAATCGTCGAGGAACACGTTGAACCCGACGCCGGCGTTGTTGATGACCGCCCAGAGCCCTGGAGATGATCAGCAGGCTCAGTGTTTCTCAATTTTCCATACCTCCATACGGTTGCACCTCTTTCTCCAGCCATGTCCCCATCCGGTCGACGCTCTCGTCGTTGGTGACGTCGACGCGGATCGCCTTGAATTTGCCCTTGGTGTAGTTAGAGGCCTCCTTCTCGATCTTTTCGAGACCCTAAAACTTGTATTTTTTGAAAAAAATCGATAGCTCTATGCCTCCTCCGTGTAGCAGCCGGCGAACACTGGCATGCCCATGCTCAACAGCTTGAGCGCGGTGTCGTGGCCGAAACCTGGAAAAGGCAGGCTTAGGCTTAGAAGTAGGCTTAGGCTTTGACTTAGGCTTAGGATTATGCTAAGGCTTAGGATTAGGCTTATATTTAAGCTTAACCTTCACCCACCAGAATCACATCCGGTGATGAACACCGGCCGATTCGGCAGATCATCCAGCTTCTCCTCTTCCCACTTGATGCGCAGGAAGAAGAACGTCACCCAGGCGGCGACGGCGCCGAAGAAGATCAGGAAGAACATCTACAAAAGAAATGATTTTTTACGAAAAAATGACAGTAGTAAAAGACGTTCCCGGCGAACCCAATGACCATTTTTTCGCTGCTACGCGTTCCTACCCCGCTTTTTCACGACAAGTTTATGTACACAGTAGTAGGGCAGGCGTAAAAACACACAATTTCTTGCCCGGCAAAATGTTGCCCACCCCTACCAGGGGCTCAAAAAACTAAAAATATAGGACGAAAAAGTACCTCAAAGTTGTAGTGGAGAAGGTTTGCAAATGTTTTTCGCATTACTTTCTCTCTTTTACCACCGGATATGCAAATTAGGCTGTGAAAATATGCAAATAATGCTAAATTTTTACGCCCCAAAAATTTCCTTACCTTTTTTCAACGCAGGACTCTGTAGACAAGGTTGAAGTGATGCGAGGCGGGCCTAAAAAATAAAATGAAAAAACGCATTTTAAAAACAGAAAATACTAAGTGCTCAGAGCGAAATTCATGATCGAAAAGTGCCAAATAAAAGTGAAATCTAGCCGATACCGTCTATTCTCTGATGCAGTACCCTTTCATGGTACTGTAGTTTGTTTTTAAGAGCACGTTACTATATGAAAAGAAGTGCGCAACCTAGGCTCGGCCAAGCCTAAGCCAAAGCCGAAACCGAAGCCCAACAAAACCGGCGCATCAATCAAACTTACAATTCTGGCCGGGGACCAAGTTCGGGCTAACCAAGGTGTGACTACCTGCGCGCATCGGGACCAACCGCCGTCGGATTTTCCAGGTGAAAAAGAGTGCGGAAAAGACGCTTTTTGGGTGGCGATGAGCCGACGGTAACAAGCCCCCCGGTCGATCCGGATGGTTCATCACTCGCTTTATTCCTCTGCACTTCTTTCTACTGTAAAAGTTTTGTCGGGTTTGGTTTCGGGTTTGCTACTCGACAAGGGTGGGTTGTAATTGGGCACGAATTGTATAGTTTTGGAGTGGCGGGTAGGAAGGCGGGGTAGAGTAAAATTTGTACTTCACCTTAAAATTTATATCGCGCCTTTAGAAACTCGGTAATTCATTCTGCATAGAGAGAGAGAGAGAGAGATATAAAAAAGAGAGACAGAGAGAGAGACAGCGACAAAGACAGAACGACAACAAAACTTTGAAAGCTATTCGGCACCAAGAATACCGTACCACTCCAAAAATACCCCCGCCCGAGCCAAACCTAGCCCCATTCCCTCCCTTTAAATGCGATCGAAGGTCATTTTCCGAAAACATTTCTTTCATCCGTCAATGCCCGTTCGCCCCGTCAGTTTCCCAGGTTCTAAAGGAGATCAGACAGCCAGATTGAACCGAGATTGTTGCGCTCCCGACAACCAAAAACCCCTGGGTACCATCGTTTTTTCGGGGGTTTCACTATTTCGACCGGAAACCGATTTTGTAGATACCACGAGGGAAGGAAACAAAAGAGTGATTGCCATCGAGGAGGGCAAAGATCATTTATTGTTATTAGATATTATTTATTACTTGCTATATTTGTTAACTACCATAGTTTCAGCGCGTTTTTGAGCCGGATTACGGTAGATTTAGTGCAAACCAACTGACCGAACGGGATAATTGGTAACACTTTATTGACCGGCTGGGGAGGTTCTATTGAACGGCATGAAAAGACACAACAAAAAAACCCTCATTTTACAGCCTATAAAGAGGATCTATAAAATCTATAAAAATCAAAAATCTACAAAAAGCAAAGTTCACTAGCCCAACTCCACCGCAGTGCTCGTAAATCTTTTTGATTTATCGGGAGCGGGTTTTTTTGAAAATGGCGGTCACCCAAAGCAATTACCAAGGCAGGAAAAATGCAATAAAAACTTTGAGGCTAATGACTTTTTGGTTGGATTTATTTATCGAAATCTCTAATGACTCCAGTTTTGTTGCAAGTCCCGTAAAAGTATTGGAATTACCAAAATTAACCATTAGAAAATGAGGATTTTGAAGTACAAAACTGAACAGCGCCAGATTCTGAATGATCTCCCCCAATCTACCCCTCTATTTATCACCGACCGCCGTCGCAGCAGGTTTTTGCAACCGAACGCTATCTGTTGACCCTGGCCAACAAGATGGTCTAATCTTACCTACCGCCGAACGGCTAGGGAACTGAATTTGAGTCGATTGGCAAACAAATCAAGCAAAAACAACTGAAAACCTATGCCTGAACGCCGAAACCACTGCATAATCCGGCCTGACACTGAAATTGAGAGGTGCTTGATCGTTGAGGCCTCTTCTTTAGCTTTTTCTTTCAAAAGCAAGTCTTCTTTAATTTGATTATATGTTTATTTTTATGGACTCGCTGCCACTTTTTTTTGCAATATATAGATTTATTCGACTTTTTTCGTGCAAGTTAAGAAAGTGAGAAACGATACCGGCAAAGAACACAACCAGGAATGAGGTAAAATGAGATCAGATTGTGGCGAAATGCTATAAAAAATGGATCGCTTATAGGAAATACGGCTTCGGGTCGGTGAACTCTTCGTAGAGGTCGATATCGGTCAGCCACATCTCGTTGACCAGATTCGTGGATTTCGGGAAGTCTTTCTTGATTTTGGCGGCTCTGGAAAATAAGTCTGTTCTTAATAGTTCTAGAAGATAAAAAAAGAAAGAGGTTTATAAAGACGCACTCATCTTTCTTGCAATACTGCGCGGGCACCACAATAAGTGTGGCCTTCTTGGCGCCGTCTTCATCAACGATTTCCGTCCCCCGTTCTTCAGCATATTTCCTAAAAGAAAAGTTTTTGAACTATTGACAAGAAAACCTACATCAATGCAGCAAGTTTTGACTCCGAAAATAGGTCCTTCTCGTAGAGGTGAACGGTTTCTGATTTTTCATAAACCTTTGCCGTTGGTTTTACTAAAAATGGAATTTTCGGACTCTTTTGAGAGTTTACCTCTAACTGGCGACGCTTCTTTTTTAGCTTTCTTAGGCGCCGGCGATTTCGATCGCTCCTTTACTTGAACGGGCTTCTTTCTCTTGACGACAATCTCCTCCTCTTCCTCTTCTTCTTCCTCCTCCTCAGATCCAGATCCCTCTGATCCTTCCGCTTCTTCATCACTTCCTGAAACACTGGTTATACTTTTTGCACTAAATATTTACCATCCTCTTCCTCCTCAGCGTCTTCTGAATCAAAAGCATCTTCGCTTGAATCGTCCTCAGACGAGATATCTGACTCTTCATCGTCAGATTCAATCTGAAACACACAAAATATCGGGTTTTTGCGGAAAAGCATACCACATTCGCTACTTTGACTTTTGCGCGGACACTGCGACGACCGCCGCCACTGCTTTCGGCCTGAAAAATATCTCGGCAAATTTGGGTTAATTACCTTGCGACGATACGTGTAGACGTAGGTGGGGATGCCAAACGCCGGGCCGTATTCATCAACGAGTTGCGCGAATTCTAAACGAGGCTTTAATAAATATTTTAAGCTTTACGAACCGTCATCCAGCCTCGACACATGGTAGCTGCACTTAATCGCCCTGTCTTTCATGTTGAACGTGAGATTTTGGAAACATTTTCGGAGGGTCGGGTGATCGACTTCGTCTACAAAATTCATACTAGAAAATAATATGTTTCACTTACCACGTGCGTCTTCTTTTCTGGGCGATCAAAAGTGCAACGGTAATGTTATGGCCATTCGAGTCGGGCACTTCCGTATCGATAAGATGAACGTCTCCATAATGCAGATCCTGAAAAGAAAATTAAATTGTTATATCAAAAAAATCATTTTACAGTTTTCTGGACAAAATTAGCTCACCTTCATTTTTGCGATTCGCTCATATCGACTCGGGACCGCTGGAAATTTCTTTCGAATGGCTTCGAAAACGCCGCCGTGCCCGTATTCACCTAGGAACTTTATTTGTCCGAGTTTTTATGCACTGACCGCTATCATCCACAATTTGCAGAATAATCTTCTCCGTGCTTTTATCGTCTCTTGAAGTAATCGGTTCGGTGACATCGCCTCGCACGTCTTCCGCTAATATTTCGAAATTAAGAATAAATTAATGCTCGTACCTCAGCGCCGCGATCTTCTGCTTCTGGCTTGTCTTCTACCGACTTCAAGGAACGGGAGACGTAACCTGAAAGACAAATTACCAATTTTTAGAGTTTAAAAGCTTACCATTAGCTTTCCAGTTTTCATACAGCGCTTTCCGGCGTGTTTGCTTCATTGTAGGGTGAGAATTTTCCTCGTCCGAGCCAGAATGGACGCCGCTTTCGCCTTTGTAGTTGAAAACGTCCATCACGAGCAGTTTTCCCTGTCATTAAATAAATTGATTAATAAATAAACATGGAAAAATTATTATAAAACTGCCAAATCCGAATAGTAGCATCATTTTGGCGCCTTTTCGGGTATTTCGAAGGGCGCTAGAGAGATAGGGCATGTGGACTAAACATAAATAGAGGCCTCTTGGAGACGCCTCTCGACAGGTCTTGCCAAGTTCAGTCCGCAAAGAGGGAGAAAAGGGGAAGAAAAAGACCACAAAAAATGTTTGGGGCCTTTTAGAGCCAAAAATATCGCCTCATCTCACCAAGTCGGTTCCAAATACACAACAAAAAGCCAAAATCATATTGAATATCGTTAGAAAATCAATTTTTGAGAATTTAGCCGAATTTTTGCAGTATATACATATACATTTTTCGTTGAAAAATTGTTGGGTCCGTGTTACAACACCTAACATATTGACGTAGTTTGTAGTCCGGAATATTACTTCCCAATTAAAATAACTTAAGAAAGCACAAAATTATTAAAATTTCTTGCAAATTCCAAATGAAAGATCTGCAAGGGCATACATTGCTACAAGTGCTGTGCTGTTCCATTTTTTCCCCAAAAGTAAGGCCCGAAACTGATCCCTATGCTTTGTTG